TTGTCTACCACACTACACCCTTGTTTCATTATTCTGCAGCCTTCTTGCCCTTTGTTCCACCTCATGCTGAGAAGGTTAAATGTTAGAGTGCCAAGCCAGACTGCAAGCATGGTGGGACACTGATGAGAAGCAGATGCCCTGGTGATTTTGCCCCTCCCCTTATATGGGGCCACATAATTTTCATATTGTGAAATACAGTGAAGTTTGGCTCAGTTTTCAATGGTGAGTGTAATTTCAAATGATTATCTCATTGTCCCCATCAATCTGGGGGCAATACAAATCAGACTGAAGTTTCCAGGTCAGACAGGCTCTGACCTTACCTTTCCTCTTACTTTCTGTAGCCATATAGGCTTCCAGGCCCCTTAAAAAGCATCTGAAATGTGTAGTCTTGTAGCTCTTTATTTTTATGCTTCCAGTAAATTAATTGCAGCCACAGCAGTTTTAGTAACTTTGATTCACTTAAATGTCATTCTTTAACATTTCCTATGACTCTTGGTGAAAGGGACAAAGAATAAATTGATCTTTATGTGAGTGTGACTTTTAAACACTGTAAAACTATGGAAGTTTACATGGAAGGAACTGTTAAATAAATTACATTTATCTACTGAATTCCAAAGACTGAGCCCAGATTTTCATTAGTACATGGGCTGATGTCAGTGGAACTATCCATTTACATTAGCTAAAATATCTATGTCATTAATAGCTACTGCTTTTAAAAAGAAGGACACAGACCTTCATAAACACTTATAGGTAGCCTTATTAAGTCAGTGCTCTGAAAAAAAAGTGGATTCAGAATTAACATTTACTAGCTATAGCTTGGAAGCCAATAATTACCACTAATCACCTACATCCTGGAAGCCCATAAAATAACTAACACTATTAGATATTTCAAATATCAGACTCACTGTACATATGCAGAAAAGTATTTATTTCACCCATGCATAATGCTTGGTTCTTTCTTTCTTTTGAACACACACACGCGCGCACGCACGCACGCACGCACGCACGCACACACACACACACACACACACACACACAAAATTAAATCATCATAACATAATAGCTAGGCTGAAAGATGTTTGATTAAATTGATTATTAAATGCATTATGATTTACTTCTACAAAATCTTCAAGATTGTTGCTCTCAGTTACATTTGAATCACCAGTAAAATAGCTTGGGTCCAAGATATCTAAAAGACCACGTCTCCCTCTGTCTCATCACCCTCAAAGGAATACTTAGTGAGGACATCGGACAGCGCCTTCTCTGTTGCTGCTCCCAGACTCTGGCTAGGCTGGCCTCACCTCTGCTGTCCTTCCTCAAGCAAACAAAGACCTTTCTCTTCAGGAAAGCTTTCCCTTAGTGAGTGGCAATCTGAGAGGGTTTTTTTTCATTGTTGTGCTCTGTTGCTTTGAAATGTGTTTTTAGTATTAATTTTATTTGCCATTTTTAATATAATACTTGTCTAATTCTATTTTAATATTTTATACTTAATTGTTTTTAGCTTTTAAATATTGTCTTTTAATGTTGAAAGCTGCCTTGGGTCCTTTTAAGGAGAACAGCGAGGTAAAAAATCTTTTAAATGAGTGAATAGATGAACGAATGAACAAACGAATGAACAAATACCATCATTATCATACGATCCTAAAGTTTATAACCAGTATCAGCTTACCCAGTCTCTTTCCTTTTATTTTCACTTAAAGGTGGAACTCCCATCTTAAAATTTTTGACAATTATAGTGCAAATGCCTGCTTTATTATGTGTGCTATGAACAATAATCAGTCATTTCCTGCCCAGATATGCTCATGATGCTCAGAGGAGAGCAGCCAGTTCCCTTCATGAAGCAGAGATGTCTCTACAACAAATCTGCAAAGAAGACAATCCTGTTTATGTATAGGCTTATGTATGTACAACAACAGTGAAAATCCAGCATTGTTGCTTACATGTGAACAGAAGTGAACATGAATAATCTTCTCTGCAAGCTCGCCTCTTTCCACACATAGTAAGCAACAACTAAAAGAGATTGTGTTAACTACTCCCCTCTAAGCAAGGAGAGTGCATCCATTCAGGGAATGGCTGAAAACCCCTGTACTTATACTAATGAATATGGATATCCAACCTGGCATCACAATCAGTTATGACTTCCATTACCCTGAATATGCTCTTATATGCCCTACATGGGCAAGGAGCACCCTGATGGAGACATACAGTACCTAAATCCTGAAAGATACAGCAATTATTAAGAAGGTAAATTTCATGTTGGGGACGTGGTGGCACTGCGCAGAAGCCTGTGCTGCAGGGTCAGAAGACCAAGCAGTCGTAAGATTGAATCCACGCGACGGAGTGAGCGCCCGTCGCTTGTCCCAGCTCCCGCCAACCTAGCGGTTCGAAAGCATGTAAATGCGAATAGATTAATAGGGACCACCTCGGTGGGAAGGTAAACAGCGTTCCGTGTCTAAGTCGCACTGGCCATGTGACCACGGAAGGTTGTCTTCGGACAACACGCTGGCTCTATGGCTTGGAAACGGGGATGAGCACCGCCCCCTAGAGTCAAACACGACTGGACAAAAATTGTCAAGGGGAACCTTTACCTTTACCTTAAATTTCATGTTGCCACTCCCTCTGATCCTTAAATTAGTCTAAGACATCTGAGACCAAATTTAAAAGTACATTAAGTAACGTAGCATAGTACTCTGATTACTTCTCATCAGAATGAAATGTATGTACATTCTCCACATGCTGAAACGTAACACGCATTATTGTACTGTACACATCTATGAACAAGAATGTACCATGGTAGTTCAGTTGGCTCTTAAACCTGTTGTTCTTGAATATGTCCTTTAAAAAAAAAGCAAAGCGTGCTGCTCATATACCGCCCCATAGTGCTTCAAGCACTCTCTGGGTGGTTTACACGAAATTATGCAGGCTACACATTGCCCCCCCCCCGAGAGCTAGGTACTCATTTTTCCGACCTCAGAAGGATAGAAGGCTGAGTCAACCTTTAGCCAGCTATCTGAGATAGAACCCCAAGTCCTGAGCACAGTTTTGGCTGCAGTACAGCAGTTGAACCACTACGCCATGAGGCTCTTCTGAGATAGTAAGAGATAGTTCAATAAATCTATACAAAATGACTGGATAAATAAAGTAGCATTTTGAAATAATCTAATAACGTATCTCCCATCTGAATGAAACAATCTTTCGGGAAAAACATTTTGCAAATTTTGTACATCAGGGTTTAATATTTTCTTCAGTCATTGCAGACAAATACATGTTTATATGAAATAACTGTATCTATCTATCTGTCTGTCTCTATCCATCCATCTATCCATCTGTATTATATGTACTGAAAATCTGCAAATGATTATATATATTGATTTTATACTCCTCTAAATGAAATTGTCAATAGAAAATATTAGTAAATAAGTGTAACTCATCTATACATTCATCTTGCCATTTTATTATAGGGAGAAAAAAGTTTAGATATAAATTACTATTTCCCTGAAAATAAGACAGGGTCTTATATTAATTTTTTCTCCAAAAACACATTAGGGCTTATTTTCAAGGGATGTTTTATTTTACAGTCATGTCATCTTCTGGTTGCTGCACAATGCTGCACAATGGTGGAGGGCGGGGTTTCACTTAACTAGGGCTTATTTTGGGGGTAGGGCTTATATTTCGAGCATCCCGGAAAATCATACCAGTTCTTATTTTCAGGTTAGGTCTTATTTTCAGGGAAACAGGGTAACTGAAATACATCAGTTGCTATGTATGACTTTTATTGTCAGGTTTTATGTCATAGGTGATTTTGCTACTGTTGCTGTTTGTTAAACAGCAAAAATATTTGCAAAAATGAAACACTGTAATCTCGTGCTTAGAGTGTGCCTGCTAATGTCAACTAATCTTAGGCACAAGAAACTAGGCAGAGCGCTCTGTCTTAATGAAGTTTAGTACAGACTGAGTAACTTTGCTATAAATGGCACCAAACATACTTTGTCTTGACTTGGAGAGGGGGGAAAGTACAAGTCCATCGCTGGTATAGTGAGTGTCCAAAGCCAAAGAAGCTAAAATGTTAGTATGATCCCTTGTCAATCTCATGTCTCTAGAGCCAAGATTACAGTGGTGCCTCAATTTACGAATGTCCCTACTTGCGGCCATTTCGAATTACGACCAGCTCTGGCCGCAAAATTTTGCTTCTACTTGTGACCGGAGCTTTCACTTACGAACAGAAAAAGGCAGGGAAAAAAGGCAGGAAATTGTAGGCGGCAATGAAGCTGCTTCTTTGTAGCTCTTTCGCCCAAGCAGTTAGAGAGTGTGCATCAGAGGAGGCTTGGGACTGCCTCCTTCTGCTTCTGAGTGTGTGAGTGAGTGAGTTTGCAGTGTGGTGTCAGGCTGCCCGGTAAGGTAAGGTGCTGTTTTTTGCTTTTAAAAAACTGTTCTGGGTGTTTTTGCAGCATGGTTTTGAGCTGGGAGGGTCAAGGTTCTGTCCTGTGATGGGTCTTGGGGAAGGTTGTTTCTTTTTTGGTCCCTCCCCCCATTTTCGATGGGTCTTGGGGTTTTTTGTTGCTTTTTGCAGTGTTTTTTCCCATTTCCGATGGGTCTTGGGGGGGTTGTTTGTGTGTTGGCTTCCCCCCATTTTGATGGGTCTTGGGGGTTTATTTGGGGTTTTTTTGGCTTCCCCCCATTTCCGATTGGTCTTGGGGGTTTGGTAGCTTTTTGGGTTTTTTCCCCCATTTCCGATGATATAGATAATGCACTTGATTTCAAACTAAAACATAATTGTGGTAGAAACCATCAAATATTTTATTTCAATATTTTATTATTCAAATATTATTTGAAAAACAGAGTTGCTTCTACAGAGTCAAAGATACATTTTGGACCTCACTCACCATTTAAAAGCCAGTGACAGATTTAAACATATGAACAGAAAAACATACCACTATGATTTTTTAAAAATTTCCTACGTCATTAGGGTGTGAAAAATAAGAAAGAAGCAGTACACTTACCGGTATAGACAAATCGTCCAGGAGCACCTTTACAGAACTGTTTAGATTTGTAGGAGAGAGTTACTTCAACAACTCCAGGAATGTGCCGTGGTGGGGTTTGAACTCTGATGGCATGAGGTGTTATCAGCTATAAAAATTATACAATAAACATAATTTCAATCAAGATTGTACTGATAGTTGTCAAACTTGTCAATTTGATATGATTAGTAAAAGGAGTCTAAATTGGGCCTTCTTTCTAAAAAGCTGCCGTCTTGCTGTCACAACACAAGATCAGGGTACCAGCAGTTTTTTTTTAAAAATGAAAATATCTGCAAATGTTCACTGGTTTTAGTTTGCAGGAAAGGCCACAGGGCATCATTCATATGAAAATTGGTTCCACATGTTCCTTTAAATCTGCTCCTTGTAATTTTTGAAAATTGTCCAATTGTAACTGGAAGCTTTCTATAAGAAAACTTCCACTAGGGGGCCATGAAATGCCCCATGTACATTTCTCCCGTGTTCAAGCCACTGCCATATATTTAAAAAGGAACTTTGAAATACAATTTTAAGATTGTTCATGTAAGTAAGGTTAAAAAATCCAGAAAAATTGTTCAGAGTCCAACAGTAATCCGTATCTCACCTCACTCCACACCAACATGGTTCCAAAAACAACTTGCAAGCCATCAAAGAAGTTGTCTCCGATTATGATGACTGTAGCTCCACCAGTTGTCCAACCTTCACTCGGACTTATGGCCTTTATACAAGGGGTGGCTGCTTGTACAAAATGAAAAAATTGAGGACTTAGTATCTCTCCTGTTCTGACATCAAGTTGTATTGTTGTTTTGTCAATGGCAAACCATGCAAAGCACAGTATGAAGAGCACATGGTCTCTCTAGGCAGTCATCTATCAGTATGTTGATGTATTTAAAGCAAATTATTATATGTTGTACAAAGCAAAGGCCAAGCAGCAGAATACTAGTGAGCAAGAAAAAAAATTGGCTTGATACAGCAAATTATGTGTCAGGGCAAATATGGCTATTACAAATGATTAAGCATCACATGCATGTGGCATGTCGATTTATCTGCTTTGCTGTACAGATCTAAGCAGAGTCAATCAAAAGGTTGTTGAGGGAGATGGAAGAGCAAATGCTCTGAATTTCGATTCCTCATAAGCAGCTAATTGGGTTGGGTTTTTTTTTTCATCT